ACCGGTTGCCCCTCGTGGAGGAGCATAGGCCGCCCACCAGTATCCTCGACCCACCGCAGTCGTGGGCGATCATTCCCAGTTATTTCCAGTCGCTATTCATCCTTTTGACGTCTGTTTCCAACCCTCGATGCAGAGTGTTCTTTGGTCTTTCTCTTTTCCGTTTTCCTCCATAATTCCAATTGTTGGAATTAAGCCGTATTTTGGTCAGTGTAATTCTGTTTGGGCTTATTGCATGTCCTGGAAATTCCAAATTTTGAACATAAGAAACTCACTTTTTTGGCATACATTCCCTGGGTTTTCATTCAGTCATTTTAACAAACCTCTTACATACTCTTCACGTGATTCTAGATCAAGACTGGCACTCAACAGAGTGATGACATATTCTTTTGAAACAAGACACGTTAAGTCTGCACTTGAAGCTATTGATGTGAATGACGATGGACAATCGAAGTATGTTGCCATAATTTGCCTGACCTTAACGGAAATAGTTTACACCAAAACGAATCTTAAGGAGAACCGAATGTATGCATGCAACACAAAAAATGGGGTTATGTCTGTAGTTAGATTGACAGAACAGCCCGAAATTTATCACGGAAGATTAAAGTCACACATAAATATTGCGTATTCTCCACTCTATATTCAGGTATCCTCACCAAACATTCTTTTCGCGAAAGAACAATGACTGTCTCAGAGACGGAATAAAATATAACCGAACATGCAAGGTCACTGATGGTATGAAAGAAAGGTGAACTTTGATAACACACTTTAAAGTAAATCTACAGCAAACCTTTGAAATGCTTGTCCCGTATTACTCACAGCGAATAACGTACACATGGATCTGAACGATCCGAGAAGTATAACAATTGTTGTCTTAGGAATATCTTCATCAGTAACTGGGATGTTGTGAAAAGCCCAGATCAGGTCAGTTTCAGTAAATATTGTCATACTTTATGGGTCGTCAGTGTATTCGTGATTACTATGCTTTGAGTACGATTCCGAGCTATATCGCTTATAGGATAATTTGGGGAGAAAAGTGAATAGGTGATTTCAAAGAAGCATAATCTTAACTGAAATTCAATGAGCCGTCTCAAGAAATTGCCTGGTTCGCGTGTCTTAGACTGTGTAAGCATTTTTATGTACCTACTGAGACAGCCACTGGTTTCTGTTAAAAGAGTAGCGATATAATTATTGGGTTGGCTTTAGTGTATGGACCTTAGTAGGTAATATCGTTCATAAGAACCCTGCAGATCCAGTTACACAGTGGGTTGCCATTTTACTTCTCCGGCTTCAGATTTGTTAGAGAATGATGAAGTAAACACTAACATAGGTGGTATCCTGATGAGTTCTGTGATCCTGAGGTCCTTTATTCTTAACCATTGGTAAGGATATCATTGACGATTTTAGTGAATCTCTTGTGAGACCAGCCGTTTGAAACTAATCTACTCTCGACACACTCGAACAATTAAATACCGTTTAGTTATGTGTATTACCTGTTCTACTAACTTTATTGCTTCAAAGTCGTTAACTGGTGTTCTTACACTTTGACACATCTCGGAACACCCTGTTTTGTATGAGTACACCTTTTTGACGATGTCTTCAGCCCGAAGAGTGTTCATCCTAAAAGCGTCCTAATAGTATACAAATATTTCGTAACTCCAAACCCCTGGTAGAGTATCCGATGGCCCCCCCGACGACATGTCTATCATCACCTGAGAGATGTACTTACTTACGCCTGTAATTCCCAACGGAGCATAGACCGCCGACCAGCATTCTCCGACACACTCTCACTTAAGCCTTCCTTTCTAGTTCTATCCAAGTTTTGTTCATTCTTTTCATGTCTGTCTTCATCTCTCGGCGTTATGTGTTGTATGATCTTCCTCTTTTTTTGGCCTTAGGGATTCCAAGTGAGGCTTGCCGGTCATACAACAAGTTAAAAGCTACCACGTTAATTCTTTAGATTTACTTATTATTATTGTGGCTGAATGAGTTATCCAGTGAGCGCTGAAAACGAAGTACAGCACAATATATAGCTAGGATTTTCCTGCCTAAATCGCTAAATATCGGTCCAGCGTCTTTGAACTTTTTCGGCAAAAATGCCAACGGTTGCTGAGTGTCACTCACCCATTGTTGTGAGGCTCATCCGATTACTGAATTAGATGCGTCTACTACGATTCTAATGGATGTTTTGGCGTTGAGTTGTGAACGTTGGTGATAATGTCCTTCGCCGTAGTAAATGACTTTCTCGCATTTTTGTCAAAGTTGGTGACTGTCGCATGCTGGAGAAGCTGGTCCGTTGACAGTCGTATAACGCACGCTCAATTCCATACGGGTCTCTAGCTAAATATAACTGGTCAGCTGAATGTATGCAGTTTCTTAACTGTACTAGGTTCTGGTCAATCCACCTTATTTCTCAGAGGGTGAATCATTGAGCCTAAATGGGATGCCTGACAATGTCCGGGGGGTGATTTCGATCTGACATTCTGTAACCCTTACAGTGACTTCATGTATTTGCAATCGTAGGAAAATAAAGTTCAGATGCTAGAGATGAAATTCTCAGGCCGAACTTTCGATCAGACAGTCATGGACATAATTGTGCACAAAGTGAAGACCTTGGAATACATAGTCAGTGACTGTTTTATACTCCTGAACAACAGTTCTTAAAGCGAAAAACACCTGCGAAAATTGGTAGAGCATAAAAGGGATGCTAATAGCCGTTCGCAGAATATCTTCCACAGTCACAGAAATTCGGCCAAATAATTTAACCAAGTCAAAAGTCGAAGTGATAATAGGGTCTTTAGCTGTAGTTCTCAGGTCGTGGATGTGCGGAAAAGTGTTTTCCTTATGAAGTCGCTGATAGCCACGGAAGAGATGCACACGAAGTTTTTGACAGCCGAAAAATTCCTAAGTCCGTCATGTCTGCGAATTCGTCTTCCCAGGAGCTAGTCGGTGTGTTTTCAAGATTACGGATGGTTCTGTAGTCGTGACGTGGTGTGTAACATTGCTGGTTACATATTATAGTTTCGTTCGTGTTTTGTAAAGTTTAGGATACTTGTCAAGTGTTTGTCGGAACTGTGGATCAATACTGTTTTTAATCGTGATCGAACAAAACCTATAACCAGAAAGCGAAGTTCTACAAACAGTTAGTTCATTATTTCAATCTACTAACCTCCACCTTTTTTGGGTCGATGAGTAAGTTATGGTGTTGTAGCTGGCCTATACCAGTGACTGATATTGACACGTCTGCAACAACAAAATATAGCGAACTGGTTTACGCAAACGAGGAAAGTCTTTTATAAGGTATCATAAAGTTAAAAAATTACTAATGGATATACTGGGTGTAATGTACCTGTTCAGACTGTCCACTAATGCAAAGAGTTACGCGCATGCGCCTGTGACCTCATCCTGGTGTAAGTCGGTCTGTGCATTGCAGAACCGGGTTTCAGTATTATCAGGCTAGGATGGGATGGGTTGAAAGATGGAGGTGTAAGTGTGTTAAACTTTTCCAGTTTGAGTGTGCATTTTGACATTTTAAAAATAAAAATCCTAAATCTGTGAAAAAAAATTGGGAACACGAAAATCATATCACGAAACGTAGAAGAAATTCAAACGTGATGTCACATCATGGAACAAATTTACAGTTTACCATTTAGTGTGCTGAATTACGGGTATGTCAACGCTGTTGTTCATATGACCCATGGAATCAAGAATCCTGAACGGACGTGAAAGATAAATGAGTTCGAAAATATATTTGGAAGATAATTGAAGTTTCGAGAAGTATGTAAGTTAAGCCGGCTAATAATCATGAGGGGTGCGTAGCACGGCAGAATTGATGGTAATCTAGTTTAGGTGTGTGACTGACTGCCTTCATATATAGTGTGTCCAATGAAATAATAAGGTTTGCATCAACGTTGAAGAATTACAGAACTACTTGAGAATTAATAAGTTTATTAACCACTACATGACCTACCAATCAGTTACACATAACTCTGTATCAAGCTCTTTTTATACTTGCGATGGATATTTCTGTAACTGGCCATGGATATTACTTCGAATTTGTTTGTGTTAGTGCACGATATGTTGAATGAGTCTTTCATGAACGAAACAAGATATTTTCACAGATTGAACTCATGAGTCAGTTGAAGCTAGACCACCATTGAAAACCTGGAAGCACTGGACGGCCGTTTCGTCCTAGTATGGGACTCCTCAGCAGTGCGCATCCACGACCCCGCACCACCCGGGGCTCGAACCCAGGACCTACTGGCTTCGCGCGCGAGCACTTAACCATTAGACCACTGAGCCGGCATCCAACGGTGTTAATGTCTAACTTCAACCAATCCATGAAGTTGCGCTACCGTACACCATTGTCTTCAGTGAGTTCCTATCTCACAACAGACCTGGTTGAACTCCACTGGTAACGACTTCTCACTAGAACTCCAGAAGTGTTTCCTGAAGCCAGTCACTAGTGAGCAGGTGATTATTATTATTATCAGAATGTGTTTTGTGGAGATTTTTAGAAATTTTCACAGATTGAACTCATGAGTCAGTTGAAGCTAGACTACCATTGAAAACTTGGAAGCACTAGTGACTGACTTCAGGAGACACTTCTGGAGTTCTAGTGAGAAGTCGTTACCAGTGGAGTTCAACCAGGTCTGTTGTGAGATAGGAACTCACTGAAGACAATGGTGTACGGTAGCGCAACTTCATGGATTGGTTGAAGTTAGACATTAACACCGTTGGATGCCGGCTCAGTGGTCTAATGGTTAAGTGCTCGCGCGCGAAGCCAGTAGGTCCTAGGTTCGAATCTCGCGGGGTGCGGGGTCGTGGATGCGCACTGCTGAGGAGTCCCATACTAGGACGAAACGGCCGTCCAGTGCTTCCAGGTTTTCAATGGTGGTCTAGCTTCAACTGACTCATGAGTTCAATCTGTGAAAATTTCTAAAAATCTCCACAAAACACATTCTGATAGAAACAAGATATGACTTTGGAATTACCCCGCGTTTATTCAAATGACCAGGCTACGTTGACCTGCAAGTTTGTCTGAGCAACGTGATACATGGTTTTCCTTTGATAGGTTCTTGAAATCTCCTGACTCTCTTACAGCTGTAGAGTAATCAATAAGAAGGGCACGCCAGTTTTGTGGCCCATTGATATGACTCCAGTTTTAAGGAACGTTTGAATGTGCCATGAGAATAGATATCCCATTCAACTCCGTATATTACATCTATGATAACCCCGTCTATCCGACGGTGATAATGAGAAGCCAAATGCGCGTTGAGTTGGACGAATTCACTTCGGGCACTCGTTTATTCAGACAGACAATAAGAATGAGAAGCGGGACGGGAAAGACAAGTAAACTAAAGGAACTTGATGAATAGGGCGATACACATGCCCTTATACAGTCAAGTTAATGAGTAAGCAATTGACAAAGTCAAAATGTGACTGAAGAAGAATGAACAAATTGGTCTGTCCGGAGGCCAGAATAACCCATATCGGCCTGACATAGCGTTTTGACGTTATGGATGACGTCAGTTCATGATTAAAGCTATAAATCTGTTTCCTAACCCTAACCATCAGCTGAAAATCATAATTCTAATTCATCGCACTGGTTTATAACCCTCGCCTAGCATTTTTTTACTAAGTGGACATTCCCAATGTCACTTTAACGTTGCTGTAAGGTCGTCCATAAATTATAGTCTCGTCGAGATTGAGATTAAATTTCCTCAAGATACTCTGTAGTAAAAGTAAAATATTGGTACTATAATTTTAAGTAAGAAGACAAAGCAAAGATAATGGTGAGATTTTGTTCGACAGTCGTATAATGATGTTATTCTAATATTAGGGTGTATTTTATTGAGTTAAGGATTCTCTCTGGATTTTCACTCGATAAACAACATAGCTACCCCTCAAATGCCCTGATACGGCTGGTGATGGTGAGAGTCCGCTCTCCCTTTCATATTGCTCTCACATGACCTTGCGTATACAGGTATTGCAGGGGTAGCCTTATTCAATGTTCTCTCGCTGCGGCGTTGTTGTTAATAATACTAAGGGGACAAAAAGTGAGTTTTTAGCTATTTAGCCTGGTTGGTGGTTATAGAGGATTCACCTAGGGTAATCGGAAAACCCTGATTCCAAACCAATGGTGCACATGGGCTTCAGGATCCTGAGGGAACAAAGGGTGTATGAACCTATTGTTGGTGTTCGGATACTGTGGGACTGCATTTCCTAACATTGCCCTACTGTCCTGTGGATTAGACCCTTAGTTTACACCTTGGTTCTGTATTCTGGGTCGTGAATCCTTTACCTGATATAACGTGGCTAGTTTCATTATCGTATTAACGTATTATAATATATCTGATGGTGAGAAAAATATTTTAAAGCATCCGTTGTATCAACCTCAGACACTAAATGTAGTCACTTTACCAAATAACTACGATTTCAGTCATGTGATTTCGTTCATGTACTCGAAAAGTTCGAAGTCATGTCGGCTTCATCTGCCATTTTCTTCAAAGATGCTTCTGAAATATCAGTGGTGAAATTAATCAGTAGTGTTAGATTTAAGAAACCTTTACTGGTTCCCACTATTGTTAAATATGAACAATTTCTTTTTTTTAAATATTCAAGATTCTTATTGAGAAAATAAGAACAACATATATGAGCGAACAATATTGTAAAGCTTAGTGAAGATCTAATTTATTTTCAGCTTTCCGCTCCCCTCTTGGGTGTTTTGTGTACTTTTAAGATACATCAAATGAAAAACAGTAAAATACAAATCAAAAGTAATCACAAGCATGTTTTCTGATCCATCTGACTTCATTTTTCGTGTGTATTGTCTATCTATTTTAAAGGGAATAATCTCAATTTGATACATTCAATTAAATGTCCGATTCAGAGGATTCAGATATTGGTTTGCTTGTGCAAGCACTCCCAGTTTCGGATTTTGATTTGAATGATCCACCTAATCACGAGAAAGCCCTTACATCACCTGATGAATACTTAAAATTTGTGCGGTATGTTTGATAAATAATAATGTTAACGATAGGTATCAAGCTTCATCATTCCCGAGTGTGTTATGTTGTCAAAATCCACCTACAGGTATGGTCAATCAAACGGCTACCTCAGCAACTGAGTATTTTAAATCGACTGACAATGACATTCAAAAAACTTGCAAGGTCATTTCCACGAAGATTTCAAGACATTTACAGGAAAATCAAATCACTCATTTCCGTAAAACTGTTGATGTAATAAACTGTCTCATTTTTATTCATTGTCTCATAGGAATACCAATGTTTGAAGTCACTAGTTTTGAGAAATTTCGATGATATGGTAAGCAGTCGTATCTAATATTTATCTTCACAATATTTCATGTAGATTAATGTTAAAAGCACTTTGATAAGTAAAAACCCTAGTGGTGATGTTGCACACTTACTATTAAAGTTGTTTCAAGATGGAGCTATTTGATTTCTGCAGGTGATTATTGTAGGAAGCAACTTCCTACAGGTGTAACTCTAAGCTATTCTCTAGACTGTCGAGCACATAGTCTTAATATAGCCAAAGTCAGAACAAGTAAGCTATTCGGCTTGATAAACTATCTCTGTTTCGAACAGTAACTAGAGGATAGGAAAAATGAGTCAACAAGGCGAATGTTGCTTTATAATAAACATAAAATTGTGATTGGTGAATAAACAAGGCATAGTCATACAAGGTCAAAGAAAGTTAATGCAGTGGTGGGCGTTTCACCATATCATTGGCAGGTTCGTTCATCGATCACACTTCGCAATTATGTCACATTATTAATGGCTTAGATATCTGTTCGATTCTTCTGAAGTAACTTACCATTCTATTGGTAGCTAAGAAAAAATGTAGACTAACTGATCCGTTTGTAGTATGCAATTGTGACAATAAAAGGTGGATACATTAATTCGTTTGAATATTGTGTAAATTAAACTTTATCTTAAATTGGTATATCAGATGACTTAGTAGTATGTGTCATTCAAAAAAATTGTTTGGAATGATTAAGGTAGTTAACCCCCAACTGTTAGATCACGCGTTCGAACACCAGTTCACTTATTTCGTTTTAGGCAGCGAGACGTCGTCAGTAGCCGTTGCGAAATTGTAAGGCTCAGGAGAGTACTTAACCCTGGGTCTGGCAAATGAGTTACATTTATTCATGATTGACCATTAAGTTACTTTTTTTAATGCTTATGACAGCACAGTAAATTAGAACAGCAAAATTTGGTATACAAGTATAGCTTAGTTAATATCTGAATAACAGGAAATCTCAATTCGTCAACACCGTGGCTGGGAAATTAACACAGACCTCCCGGCTACCAGCGAGATCGAAAAGGTCATGACTAACTTGAGGCGAGGTGAATTCGCAGGACCTTATGAATTAGTTTCAGAGTGACTCTTTGATTAATATCACGAACGGGTCAATGTTAGACCACCATTGAAAACCTGGAAGCACTAGACGGCTGTTTCGTCCTAGTATGGGACTGATTGGAGTTAGACATTAACACCATTGGATGCCAGCTCAGTGGTCTATGCGTTCGCGTACGAGGGAGAAGGTCCTGGGTTCGAGTCCAACGTGCGGGGTTGTGGATGCGCACTGTTGATGAATCCCATACTAGGACGAAATGGTCGTTCAATGCTTCCAGGTTTTCAAAGGTGGTCTAACATTAATCCTTTCGTGATATCAATTTAAACTTAACCATCTCCACAAACCCATACTGATGTTTATTAATAATGAAATTGACTGGGTTATTATTAACCTGAGAGCTGTAATTATTACCGTTTTGACCAGTATTGACGGCTTTTCTTCCTAACGTATAAGAACCGACACATCTGTTTGTGAAACTGAGGAAAATCAAGAGGAAATTATACTAAACACCGTTCAGCTTTGTATTACTTTGTGGCTTTAAAACATGTCCTTTGGAGGTAGGGAATATATATATATCTTCGTGGCACCGTTAGGTTATGATGAAGCCATCGAATAAACAATGGTAAATTTAAGCGTAGATCACTAGGTAAAGATGACAGATAGGCTGATAAACCTATGAAGCTTCGTCGACCGCCTACACTGACTTGTAACCCTGGTTTGTATAGGAATAAGTTGGAAAATGCCCTGGTACGGCCGAGAGTGGGGAGAGTCCGCACCCCTCTCGAAATGCTCTCACATGACCAGACGTATATAGCCTCTGCCAGGGAAGTCCTACTCATTGCCTTCTCGTGGAGGGGGGTGTTGTTTACGAAATTGAGAGGGCGAAAAGCGAATGTCCTGCTCTTTAACCGGGTTAGTGGACATGGAGAGTCCACCTACGGGAGTTGGAAAACCCTGATTCCAAACCAATGGGGCATATGGGCTCCAGTATCCTAAAGGAAGAAATGGCGTATGAACCATTCGTTGTTCACCGGCTGCCATGGGACTGCATCATTTTACGATGCTCCACTGCCTTGTGGATCAGACCTTCAGGTCGAAGGCTCCAGGTGTAGCCCCCTAAGAAAACCATCTGCTTCGGTTTGGGCGCCCGGGCAGTATCACAGCCCTCACACATATCAAATGAGATTTGTGTGGCGCATATGTATTTGGTGCCTCCTTGTACCAATATCTATGTGTTAAAATAAATAAATAAATAAAAGTTGGAAAAGCCAGAGACACTTAAACCAGGACTTGACATCAGTCCATGCAGTCAATGACTATTGTTTTGAATCATATCAATAGGTTCAGGGTTCCTTGTTAGATTCTGCACGACGATGGTGATCTCTGTTTAAATATGTCATTGTTGCCTCAGAATCGACGTGGGACTGTGTTCGTTTTTCATCTTTCAAATCTTGAGTTATAATATTCTAGAAACTTCATTCCTCTGATATTACTGTTCTTTCTAAACCATATACTCTATGATCAGTTTTCCAAGGTCTCTGGTACTAAGTAACATAATAGTAGAATGAAATATAAACGTTTATATATACTAGGTAGAGAGATAAATGCAACTCATTTATCAAGTACAAATTCTTGTACTCTGTTTTGAGCCACACTGCGTAAAGGCTAGTGATACTACTTGTTTATTCAAACCGAAGTATGTTGAGCAGGACTTGAGTCTGCAAACAGGTGGTTAAACGTTGAATGTCTAACCCACTACCCCATTAGGAATATATATACAACAGGACAAAAAACGGTCTAAGGCACCCTGAATATCATATCACAGCAAAGCTAAATTTCACCACACTACCTAGATCAACTGGTGAGATTAAGAAAACGTACGAATGTGAGACCATTAGTCCGATCTAATTAGTCATACTTATAAATTAACGTTTTATAAACTACTTTGGTGCATTTTTTTCTGTAAATTTGTTTTCATAGACTAGAACTGTTATTCCAATAACTAAAACAACAATACTTGAACACACTCCATCCTTAACTTGGATCGCTCAACGAACCAGGGTAGTATTAATCTTCACTTGTATTTTATCTAATATTTTTCCATTTCATCATTTAGTCAGAAATTATGACATTGATTAATTTGGTTGCATCCGTATGCACCAAAAAGCACTGGAATTCTAAATGGGTAAGTTAATTTTACAGGTATGAGAAAAATAATTATAAAAAGATCATAATTTTCTGACAAGTGAACATAGGCTTAATCCGAAATAAGGAAACACAGGTTATAATAATTTTGTTGATCCACTTAAATGATAATATTGGTCTTAACGTAGTAAATTACTGTATATATGATTTCAGAGTTTGATATGATGAACAAAACTTGAGGCTAATAGCCAGGTCTTAATTATCAAATAAGTGATCTACAAACTAGTTTCCTTCAGTCGCCTAAGACATTTTATGATATTTATCGTGTTAGCGTTTTGTATGGAAACATGTCATCTTATCTCACAATAAAACCACCCTCTCTGGCTATTACTGCTGTTTTCGATTTCGAATTGTTTGAGGGTCTACGTCAATAATACGATCTCGTGAGCAGCCAACATTTGACCACACGTTATATAATTATACACCATCCATCGATCAGTGATTGTACTCACTGATTCTAAGAATCAGAAATTTGTTCATAAAATAATAGAATCATCCTCTATTGTAAAGTCTTATCATTTCTTTAGTAAAAATGTTTATGTACAAAATCACAGTCAAATAAGAATGTACATTTTTAATGTTTCATAATCTCACAAGATTTTCTCATAGGGTTAAATTAGTAAAGATTACCACATCTTGGTGCAGTAAAAGCCTTCACCAGTTGTTTATCCGTACTTAAATGAACTCAGAGATATATCAGCTGTGGAGTATTTACTTTCAATCTAAAAATAAGAAGATCACTTATATGTTAAAAGAAGTTGATATAGGAAGCAACGATTTGATCGATTGGACTACGATTGATATATGAAATTGTTCGTCTGTGGCGTGTGACCCCATTTTGAGATGTAATTGTATGGCTTAGTCACTTAGTTATGTCTGTTGTTCATAAATGTCTAGTTGTGTTGTAGTGAACAAGAACTCAGGTGGGGAAAAGCAATTTATTGTTTTATACAAAATTACACTTCGTAAAATATGAAAATCATGCAATAAATCATTATTTAGACATTTTCCTTCAGTTGTCGTTTACATACTTTCTAATTCTCCCAGTTCTATCATTATTCCAATTACTCTGTGTTTACCTTCCTGTTCTTATTAATTCAATCTTATGTTGGCAGGCATTTTGCTTCCCATTGCTGCTTCATACTACTTATATCTGTCAGCATAAGTAGCATGCACCACAGTATGATATTGTAAAAATGTGTTCACATCGTAAATTATTGGTTAATTGATGTGAAACCTTACTTAGTTCAAATTATACAAACCTGACTGTTAATGAATCATATAAAAAGTGATATATCCCTGCATCATTTTAATTTACTATGATTGTTAAATAAATTCGTATCAATAGTCTTTGTGTTTTTAGTGCACATCGTCGGATTCAGAGTTTCAGTACCAAGAACAAGTTAGTTAAGCACTCCTCGGACGTAAAAAGTGACAGGCATGACAGGAGTAATTAGTTAGATATAAAAAACTTAACTTGAAATTAAAAATCAAGATATTTAAAACAAGGGTTCAGTCAACTATCATGTTCAAATATGAGTTAATTTTTCCGGTCAATAACCACTTACCTCCATTACTACTACTATATTAACTATCGTTTAGCTGACTTTTGTCCCAGAGCAAAAGCTAGTTCTATATTTATCAATTAATATAACTCATTATTGAAATCAGTTTACAGTAAGTATCAGAATTATACATGGACACCAAGTGTATGTGTGAAAATTGAGTTCAAATTCTGCGGATATTTTATGCTTATGATCTGTTAGTTCTAATTACTTAGGCGTTACTTATTTGTCCTTCCTGTCAAAACTATATTTCACATTTACATTACCGAATCTCTTTAAAAATGTACCGTAACTCGGTAACTTATAGCTAACCGAATTAACAGTATTTGTTTTTCATAACCAGACATCACATGACTTGACAAAAGATCTTACTTTCCTTTGCCATATTTATTTGCATGTGTAAAATATAGTGTTTTTTTATCAATAGAACGTGTGGATTTTTTCTCTTCTGGTTGCTTTGGAGCCACCATTTCATCCAGATTTATGCCATGATCTCCGCACTATCGTTAAACGATGCCGCAAATTAAGACGGGTAAGGTATATATTTTATTTATAACTTTTCTCTACAGGATTTCCAGCAGTCATCATTTCCTACTACTACTGATAATAATGTGAAACAGTGCAGCGTTGTCGCTGAAGATGTTGAATTTTTCAATTTATGTATCAATCTTATATCTCATACTTTTGGTCAATCTGATCTAGCCGACGAATTAACTGACTAAATAATTTCCGTCTTTCTATTTTCTTTTTTTAACTGGTATTCACGTGTAAATAATAATTTTATTTCACACATTTCTGCTCTTCTTAATTTGAACTATCTAACTAGTGATACACATTGGAATTAAATATTCCGTTCAATTTATACTTTATTCGTATGCCATTTTAAAAAACTATTATTACGAATTGAACTTACTCTCTAATTTAATTTTCTTAGAAGTTCTTTTGTGGTTACGTATAAATCAACGAATTGTATAAAGCCTTGATAAACTTAAGTAACCGGAAGTATAATTAACGGATGATTACTTGTATTCCGTTTTATTGTTAAATAAATCACTGAGATTATGGAGAATATTTGTAGCTTGGGATGAATATTTTGAAGGCATTTTGTTCTCTGAGCTAAATAGTTTATTCGTGAACCTTTCATCGTCTTTTCCGACAACATTATCAATACACATACTTCAATAAGAGGTGATCAATTAGAATTTCTCTACAAATGACTAGCGTGTTGTTTCGTTGAACTAGAATTTAGTTGCTTGTTGTGGCCGTTGTTTACATAGCTATTTCTACTGCTTTGACCTCCGACGTTGCAGCTGTTAATCCTTTTTCTTTTAAGTTAATAAGCTGAGTCGACTTCTATAGGCCTATTAATTGGTGCATCCCCAGAATCCGGACTTTTAAAAATTCTCCAACATTACTTGCATTTTCTTTATCCAATGTTTCCATGTTTTCCCAGTCGATCTAATTTCCAATGTTTTCAACATGAATTGATATATGTAAAGCTATGTCATAGGTTTAAACCGAGAGAGGCATCACTTATTAAATTGTGCACTCGTGATACCGTCAAGAAATACACGATTAAACAATTCAGCTCAGAGGACACGACACCTTCAAAATAAGTCACTTTTAATATATGCACTTTTTAAACTAGCAGAAAATATTGTATCCGAAAACATATATAGTCGTTCTGGAATTTCTGATGCATAGTGTAAATTTCGATGTTCGAGCTAATGGTCATATTTCATTTGACCGTTTCCTGGCCTTTGGTTAAGGAATGTAACGAAAAGTCCATCTGACCACTCACTCATCTTTCATAGTAAGTCTCATCTTAAATCATCACTGTGCTTATAGAAGTCGGTCAAGTATAAATGAACACCTAACTTAATTTTCTGTTCATAAAAAGCAAATGACTATTTTGATACCAGTGGTATTAAAATAAAGTCAACCAACGTGATAGTCCTTCGTAGTTACGTCATCTTTTAATGTCATGTTTCTTAATATTAAAATAATCAGTTCTTTGTTACCAAATCAGTTATTTTCGCTAACGTCCAATGTTAAATTATTGATGAACAAAGCAACCAAAAAAGCGTTGATAATCAGTTATTTTCGAACTTGTACTGCTGCAATATTTCCCTTTTTCAAGTGAAATTTTTCTAACTAAGCTGGAGTTTTGCTACGCTGCTGATTCGGCCCTGCTTTTATGGAGGTTTAAGTACAAACTTCTGAGGACTCGCAAAACAACGGACAATTGGCCAATATTCTTAGTTAATCATTACTTCATTTTGGTACATAGATCTACCTAATCTTGATTTACAAATGCGTTACACTTCATACATTAATGTTAGTTGGTCCGTTTAATCGTTATAATTTTAGCATAGTCATTTGGTTAGAGATCTTGATCCCCTCAAATTCCAGTCTGACTTACCATAGCTCTTTGGGATCTCATGGGACCCATATAGCTTCGCTCTACATTTTTACCTTGGATACTATTCTAAGTGACTCCACAAGATGACTACCATCGAATTTCTTCAGACCGTAAGATGGGTAAACTGACGAAAGTCATTGAAGTTTTGAATCGTAACTTAACAGATGTACTTACCTTTTGTTTGCTAATGACTAATTATTATGAAGGTAGAGTGACAAAGTAATATATAACTTTTCATCTTGTCAGTGACAGAACATAGTAAATTTTGTTACTCATGAGTCTTAAATCTTTGAAAAGAATTGAAAATTTATGGTGACGAACATAAAAGAAGTATGGTTAAATCCAAAGGTGAAAACATTTCGGGAAACTTTCCATGGAAGAACTTCGGTTGTTTATTGAACTTACATTATGGTAAACCTCTCAAGTTTCGTATTTTTTTCTGAACTACTTACAAGTATTCACTTGATATTGTTTTACTTAAATTTTCCCATTGATCAAGTGAATTCAACTTCAACCCATTGCACAAGCAAGTGGCTATCAGGACTCAGTAGCTAAGTGGATAACGCGATGGCGTTTGAAGCGAACGGTACTGAGTTCGAGTCCCAGAGTGAACATCAACTCTGAGATGCAGGTACATCCAGCTGACGAGTCCCAAACAGGACGAAACGCGCGTCCTGGATTCCACTGCTAGCCACTATCCATCTTTGCTTATAATACTTACAAGTAGTTTGCTACCTCATGTTTCACAAAAACTTGTGGGAAGTATTCTGTCACTAATTTGATTAGCATTTGACTATTGTCGGGTTCATAGTGTAAATGTTTTGACTGTGTGATTGGTTACTAAATTCTATGGAGCGGTTGATGAAGACCTAACTGGAAATTTGCTTACGAAACCGATACCTAAATATCAACCGTTAAAGATTTAGATAACAAAACCAATGGACAATAGATTAAGTAAAATAACCCATAGTGTCATTGAATAAGAAAAAGAGAATTCAGCTCAAGTAAATGATTTCGTCGAAAAGAAAATTTTCTCTGAATTCTCTTTTTCTTATTCAATAGATTAAGTGTTTATATTGAAAATATCTAAATGAAATAGTGTAATAGAGTCACTTATCAAATAACAAGTGATTCACCTAGAATAAGAACAAAGGTTACAGTGATAAGTCAGCTTTCACTTTTGTCAGTCGTACTAGACAAAAATTTGGAGTTCCATTTATTATGAGGTTGAGTCAATCAGAATTGTGGAAACTACCGTGATTTTTCGCGAATTTCATTTCGTATCACATGAAAATATCGATAGAAATATGTTTGTTCAAAGTTTAAAATTGTTAGAAAACATTCTTTGTTATCGTCTGGCGAAAACGACTGTTAAACACATGGAATCCTCGCTTCCTTTTGTGTGCATAATACATAAACGAATCAGTTTTCAGTTTACTTCGTTTATAGCGAACTATCAAATAAGTCATTTTATTAGTGAATCACTAAATAATCAGTAAGTTGGGGAAGTAGGAATGCAAAGATAAATAGTGTTTCTTGTGCATGTCTTTCTTATATAAATATGGGGGCAATTATTGTTGACTTATGGGTCCATCGCTCTAATTTCCTAGTGAAATTACCAACAAATATTTTGTAGGCAATGATGATTTCTCTAGAAAGGTATTTGTAGCTATGAGGACGAGTCCTAAGGTTACCTTTAGCTTGAGTAAATTCCTTGCAAATAAGTGGGACTTTGCATATATTTTTAAATTATCAAGATCGGAACACTAGTAAGTAAACCTTGAAAACTGATGATGTTACGTCCTTAATTTGTCTACCTAACGGTATACAGCAGTGAACTTGTCTCGTATAGATTAAGGCCCTGGCACGTTAGGCTAACTAGTTTATCCCTGAGGTTAGATGTGCCCCTGAGTCCAAATTGAGACTAATGACCTTGGGCAGAGACGAAGACTATACTGTCATTTGATTGGTTGGCGATCGAGAGAGGAGACAAGCCAACTGGGACACCACTCGATTCATTTCCGATCAGTGCAAAAAGGTACGTGAATAGATAGGTGACTAAGATGACCAAAACGCACAAACAATTAAAAAAATGCAATTATGTCCAAATTAGGCATTAGGGTATAAAAATAGCCTATCAAAGGTTACGTTTAAATTACAATAGTTTTGGAACAAACGAGTGCGACAGTGAGTCATACATCAACTTAAAGCTTATAGTTCGTAGAATAAACTAGGGACAAAACTAAGTGTTAGTCCTTTACAAGCTTCGAGTTAAGTGAAATAACGTTCCCAAAAAGTTTCCGGTGTTTGTTATGGCTGGTTGTTTTGCTTTTCAAAATATTTTTAATTTGTACATACTTTGTTCATAGGTTGAAGTGACTTCAAGATCATAGGTCATATTATTGTCATTGTTGGCTTGTCTCTGTATTATGATTTAAGCTTGTCATCGATCAGTGAAACTTATTGACTCTACATAATGCTACCATAACTGAACTTAAGGGATTGAATATTTTGAAATATTGTTTGTTATAACCTAATGTACTTCACAACAATAACAAATATTTCTCTAATGTAAAGAGAAAAACACAAGGATATTATTTGTTAAAAGGAACCATACGCATTTATGTGACTATAGTTTTCATAAACTATAAGTGGTCATCAATACCTTTTAAATAGAGTTAAATCAGCATAAATAGTACGTTCCGTTTTTCTTTTTTTTTCGAAGCTCAAAATTTTAATAGGTCAATGAATTCGACTGCTTTTTTATGGAAGAAATTCACATGCATGGAAAACATGTAAGTGACCTTCAGACAACTCAATAAAGTGACATTTGAGTCATATTGGTTGTTGAGGCCCATTTTTCTTTCATAATAAACGTCATGAAAAACAATAAGCCATCATCATGGATTATATTCTTTTGTGTTATTTTTTATTTATTAAAAAATTAGTTACGGCTAATGCATTCTTATGTTATTTGTTGTTACCTTTGTTTATATGAATTGAGAATTCTCTGTCAAATTACTCATTATATTGTTAACTTATTATTATTATCAGTACGATTTAATACTCAAATACTAGCAATATATGGCAGAAAACTAAAACAACGGACTGATTAGAATATCATTTTGACTACTAATTGTTATTAATATTATTATTTAAAGACAATCATAAGCAAAGTAGAGCCTGGTTAAAATGTGCATCGTCCTAAGTTTCCACAGTACATCATCAAAACAAAACCAAATTATTATGATAACTACCAATATAGTTGAAATATTAGCAGTAAAATAGATTAAGGAGAAT